TAGCGACCAGATTTGGCTATTAGCGACCAGATTCGGGTGTATTAGTGCTGTTCTGTTTTTTTTGCTCATTTTGACGTTTTTTTGTGAAAGAACACGGCTTGGGGCGATTTTTGAGCAAGAAATCATGAGCAATCTTGAGGTAAGTCACTTGTGATCATTTCTACTCCATAATATTGAATTATCATCGAATAATCCGACTAGATTACATGTTTTTTGAGGTGTAAATTGGGGATTTGGACCTAGGAATTTGAAAATAAGATTTGAAGATTTGGAGGCCGAATTGTTATCGGAATTTAGTAATTTTGGTGGTTGGACTCGTGGTTGAATGGGTTGTCGGATTTTGTGAGTTTCGTCGAATTCCGAAGCGTGGGCCCGGGGGCCGGGTTTGAGCAATTTCGGAATTTTGATGTTAACTTGGATATTTTCGAGTGGGCTTTGCTCCCTTAGAATATTTTAATGATTATGTACTGATTGTGGCTAGATTTGGAGCATCCAGAGGTCGATTCGTGCGGGCGAGGCATCGCGGGCTAGAGTTTGGACCGGTTCGAGTTGAGTAATGATTGTAAATGATATCCTGAGGGTTTGAAANACGCGCTTAATGGCGAGCGCGGGGTTGTTTACTATTGGTGATTGTGACTTGGTCCGTCCCGATTAATATTTTTACCGCGTATTTGACTGAAATGTATTTGTTATCAACATGACTTGGGCCTATTGCCGTATTTTGGGCTTCATGCTGACTGCTTGAATCCTTCGTGGATTTTTATCACTGTTTCCTCACTATTTTGATATACTACTTGAACTCAGTCCTGTTGATTATACTGTTTTTACAAACTCAGCTGCTTTAATTGAACTTTGAGACTTAAATGATATTTCCACTGTTGTTTGGGCTGAGCACTACTATTTTATTGATGCCTGAGGGGCTTATGATGTTTTCTGGACTGAGTGGGGCCGAGGGCCATATGTGAGGAGGCTTTCAAGCCTCGAGTGTGATGTGAGGAGGCTTTCAGGCCTCGAGTGTGATGTGAGGAGGCTTTCAGGCCTTTTGTGTGATGTGAGAAGGCTTTCAGGCCTTATGTTGATATTGCGCTTAGGCCGTAAGGGGCCCCTTCGGAGTCTGCACACCCACAGTGAGCGCGGGTACCCATATGATCTGAGAGTGAGCCCGAGGGGCTGATACTATGCTGAGTAACTGAGAGTGAGCCCGAGGGGCTGATACTGTGCTGGGTGATTGATACTGAGCCCGAGGGGCTGATACTGTTCTGAGTGATTGATACTGGGCCCGAGGGGAAGATTACTACTCACTATTTACTTGTTGTTTTACCTGATTTACCTGTTTTTAAAAGGAGATTTCATTTGATTCTTTACGGTTTTACTGCTTTAAGTAATTTACTGCCTGATATAGAATTGTCTTGTGCATTTATGTGTTTTCATGCTTTCAACCATTATTTATTGTTATTACTCAGTGAGTTGGAGTACTCCCTTTACTCCCTGCACTTCGTGTGCAGATGCAGGTATTTGTTCACCCGGTAGCGGGTTTGAGTTGATCGGAGGCTAAGTTTATCGGAGTTTGGCGAGGTGATTGTTAGCGTTCGCAGCACCGCATTTCTTCCTTATGTTTATCAGTTCTCTTTTGTATATTTTAGGCCTTGTAGTTGTAATTATACTCTGATAGATGCTCGTGACTTGTGACACCCCGGTTTGGGCTGTGTCGGGATGGTTTTCCTTGTTATTATCGCTGTTTCCGTAATTATGGCTATCTTAAACATGTTTTAGTTCTGTTTATGTTAATTAATTGTTTAAAGGAGGTGTTTCGTTTGTTCTGGCTGGCCTTGTCTTCACGAGAGGCGCCATCACGACCGGGTTCGGGAATTGGATCGTGAGAGTTTTAAATGTCAAAACGACGGAGCGAATCGTTATATTTAATTAGTTTGACGAAGGGACAAGTTGGCTGCTCACATAAAATGATAAGACAATCAAAAGAATCAATCCATGAAGAGGGCAGAAGATAAGAGATTTATTGATTAAAAGAAAGATACAAATCTATGGTTATATGTGCCAGGGGGCAGGGCTAGAGCCTAGAAGATTAGGTACGGGTTTGGTTAGTCCAAATTCTTATTTGTATTAAGAAGTTCACTAAATATATATAATTTTAATTCAAACCTAGCTACATGTACTTGATGCCATCATTCGTAAACTTATTACTCATAAAATTCAAATTCTAAATCAACATAAGTCCAAAGGAAAAAGAAGAGCTTGCAAAGCTTTAGGGCTAAAGTTCAAAATAAACAGACGAAGATGAGATTAATGAAACTAGAATTTCCCGTAAAGCTATTAGCATTTAGTTCAATAATTACTTTTTCCTTTTAATAATCCATACTCAAAATCGAATGTGCATAATTATTTGAACACAAATGTGCATACTGTCTAACAAATTTAGGGCTTCCTTTAACACTTTGCCATTATCATTTCTTGGTATATTGCACCTTGCTTTTCCTCATTTTGTTGTATATATTGCATTTTGTTTCCTTTAAAAAATTCAGCCTAAAATTAAGATCGAAGTAATACTTTAATTTTTACGTTTACCTAATTATTTTTACCGTTTTCCTTATTATTATTAAGTTTTACTGACGAAATTAAATTACAGAAATTCAAGAAAGATAAAAGTAGGAAATCAAACAAACTAGTTGATGACTGCATGGCCGGAGCTAGAGGAGCAGAAGGGGTTTCTTCGACCCGTTTCATTGAAAAATTATACTTATATATAGGTTCAAATTAGATGTTGAATTTCTGAATAGAAATTATGTCAACCGCCACTGGACTGCTATGTAGGACCGCACCATTTGTCAAGTTCTAAATTAAATTCTTATTACATCACTGATTAGAACGGACAATTAAAGATAGATTCTTGTAGAATTTTTGGGCTAATCCCTTTTGCTTTTTATTTATCAAGTATCAGTCATCTCATCCATAATTTATTTCAGACAAAAAAAAAATTAAAGTGATCCCAGCAAAGTACGTATACTGGTGTCTTTAATAAGTACTGCGTATGATTGCCGGCAGAAATGCTTGTTTGGTGGTCAAGCAATGTGGAAAACGAATTATTTAAGGTCAAAAGAAGCTCACACCAGTGTTGACCAAGTCCAGCATAAAAATCTACTGAAAATCTCCATTGATTGACTACAATAGTTTAGGTGACATTAGTTTTTAAAAGGTGCTTGAATATATTTTTAAATTTTTTTAAAAAAAAATATCTTATTGTTTGTACGTTAGACTGAATAAATTAAAATTTATGTAGCTATTAGTTTTTTTTCAAATATCGGCTGCAAATAAAAAGCATGTCAAATATCTAAAATGACTGAATACAAATGTTTTTTTTTTAATTTGTATAAACTTTTATCGTTTAATAGTAGTTAAGTAGGAGTATATATTTTGCACTTGATGTTGATTATTTATCTATTTTCTTAATTTTGGCGGATCTAGTGAAGGAGCTAGAGCTTCATCCTTTTGACTTAGATCTTATAGATGTGTTAAAAAGAAATTCACTAAATAAGTAAAATAATAAATTTCAAACGCAATAAACTAAATGAGTTACGATAGAATTTTGAATTCGAGCCAAGAAAGTTCTGTAACCGCCTCTGAATGCATGATAATAAACATAGTAAAGAGAGCAAGGTAAGATGCACAGTGTTGCTGATTGACCCCTAATCATATTATGCTTTTTGTATTGTGAAGAGAATTGTTACCTAATTTTATTTACGGAAAAGGGTTCAAAATGCCCCTAAACTATTGGAAAAGGTTTAAAAATAACCTTCATCCACCTATTGGGCTAAAAATACTCCTCCATCCACTTTTTTGGTTCATTTATGCCCTTTGACCATTAGGTCAATGCTAAATTAAAAATAATTATTTTCTTTTTGTAAAGCTAAAAAAAAAATATTTTGCGAAATATTTTCGTTTTTTTAACTAATGCACCAATAGTCCACTAATTTAGTAAAGTCTTCTTATTTTATTTTCTTTTTGCTTTTACAAAAACAATTCAGTTTTCATTTTTTTCAGTTTTTTTAAAGTATTTGTTTTTGTAAAAACTGGAAATTTTTTTTATAAAAACAAAAAATAAATTGTTTTAATAAAATATTTTCGTTTTTTAAAACTGAAAAGAATTATTTTCAACAAAATATTTTCGTTTTTGAAAAATATTTTTTTTTTCATTTTTTTCAGTTTTTTTAAAACATTTAGTTTTATTTTCGTTTTTCAGTTTTTTTTAAAAGAAAAAATATTTTAGTTTTTTTAAAAAACTGAAAAAAATGAAAAAAAATATTTTTCAAAAATGAAAATTTTGTTGAAAGTATTTTTTTCAGTTTTTAAAAAAATGAAAATATTTTATTAAAAACATTTTTTTCTGTTTTTACAAAAAAAATGCTTTAAAAAATTGAAAAAAATAGTTTTTTGTAAAAACTGAATTGTTTTTTGTAAAAACTGAAAAACAAAGAAGAAGAAGACTTTACTAAATTAGTGGATTACTGGTGCATTAGTTTAAAAAAACGAAAACATTTTGTGAATTTTTTTTAAGTTTTACAAAAAGAATAATAATTATTTTTAATTCAGCATTGACCTAACGGTCAAAGGGAATAAGTGAACCAAAAAGGTGGATGGAGGGGTATTTTTAGCCCAATAGGTGGATGCAGAGTATTTTTAAACCTTTTCCAATAGTTTAGGAGCATTTTGAACCCTTTTCCGTTTTATTTATTTACTACTCGTATTGTTTGTACGTTAGAGTTTAGTGTATATATAATATACGTACCATTATTTTCCCCAAATGCTAAACATCACTTTCTATTTGAGAAACAACTTTAAAAAGTAAAATCTTTTCGGTAGTTTTGTCCTAATAAAAGTAAAAATATTTAACTAATTCCATTAACCATTTCCTAAAAGACTTTGGTTTAGCATTAATGTCGGGAAGAAAAAAACAAAAGCAAACCATTAAAGGAACTGTACCCCTCCCTTAAAATATCCTAAATAGGGTTTCAGTTTTGTTTTCTCTTTACCAACAACACAATCCATTGATTAGTTGGGTTAAGAACCACCTCTTCTTGGATTGTTTGTTTGTCCCTTCAATTTCAATTTCTTCTATTTTTACCTACATATACATACGCGTGGGCAGACAATAAATCTTTTCCTATTATTATTTTTATTGTCACAAGATCATGCCATGTCCGTATAATCATAACCGCAGCCTCTTCATCATCCCTTTGTAATTTTCCTCAGTTTTTTTTCTTCAAGATTTCCCTTTTTCTGGGTCGGTGTATATGTATGGAAATTGCATCTCCACCTGTTATGCTTTGAATTTGATTCAAAGTCTTGAGATTTAACAAAAACCCAAATTCAATTTTCTTTGAATTTTGATTGAAGAAAAGAGTGGATTGAAGAATGCCTTTATTTCCATGGAAGAAGGTGAAGAAGGGGGCAAGCATATCACAAATGGTGAAGGAGCATGTAATGAATTCTCAAAGAGGTGCTGGATCATCTCCCCTTATGGTTGAAACCGGTTTCCCTACTTCCCTTGTTGATCTTGTCGTCAAGAACCGGTCTAGATTCAAGAAGAAAACCAAGAAACCTCTTTCTTTGTCCTCTCCAATTCCCTCTCCTTCACCACCACCACCCCCTTCTCCTATCACTATTACTTCCTCTGTTGAGGCGTTGATTGATGATACGGTTTCCCCTTTGATCCCTGAAGTTGAAGTTGAAAAAAAATCTGATCTTTTAAGTATGAATCAGGGGTTGGTAGTGGGGGTTTTGAAGATGTTTATGGTGGTGGTTTTGGTTCTAGGGATGAATAATCTTGTGCTGGGGATTACTGTGTCGGCCTTCTTGTTGCTTTTCTTGGAATATTTAGGGCAAAGTTTGTATGGATTCTTTTCTCCAGTACAAAGGAGAGTTGGATTGGTGATACAGGGGATCTTTAGGGCCAAAGTGGTTGAACTAGAGGAAGATGAAGATTGTGTTTTTAAGGCGCCATCGCGGGACCATGAGTTGTCCTCTGATTTTGGATGCCAAGTTCAAGAAATTGAAGTTGTACAAGAACCTTATGAAGAGGAAAGTCAATGTATTTGTGATGGCAAATTGACATGTGAAGGAGTGGATGTAGAGGGGGTTGTAATGGAGAAAGGAGAGGAATTTAGATGTGATTTATCTCAATCCAAGGAAAAGAAATCTCATAGGGCGAAGATGAAATCGAAAATGAAGAAACTTGTTCCGAAGAAGTTTAGAAAGAAGAAAGGTTCAGCACTGGAGAGTCATCATATGATCCTGAATGAAGGAAGGAATGAAATTGTAGGTTCTAATTGTGAACGGGAAATGAAATCCGATGTATCATCGGTGGCAAGTAGAATAGATCATAAGACAGATGTTGTTGAGGTTGTTGGTAGTACTGGAGAATCATCTAATGGACTTAGTGATGCTAGCGTTGAAGGATCATTTAGAGGTATTGATAAGGCAACCATAGTCGGGGAAGATGGTTTAACTGAAATAGAGCATAATTCTATGTATATTGTTCTCCTTTTGGTTGTTCTAGTTGGCCTTATTGGAGGTCGGGTTCTTGCACTCGTCGTTACTTTAACATGTTGCCTGATGTCGAGGCAAGGTGAAGGAATCAGAAGATACGCAAAACTGCCCGTGATCATCAGGTCTATTCCCAAAATGTTCAGTTAGAATCTCTTTTAACTCATTCATAGAAAGCCCTTGTGAAGGCTTATTGATAGTGTTTTGTGAAGTGCTGTTTAAGCCTTCCTTTGATCTTTAGAGCTTTACTTTGATGGAGAGTTCAACCTTTGGTTGATCACTTAGCCAGAGATCTTGTATTATGTCTTGTAAAGTTACTGAAACGTGATTAACTTTGTTATACTGATGTGTCTGGAATCTGAATCAATGCTGCATAATAGTTGACCCCATTCATCCTTTTGCCTTTTTCAGTCCCGGTGATAAATTGCAGTGAGTATGGTTAAACTTAGCTTATTCCCTTGGGAACCATGTTTTTCTTGTGTTCAATTTTTCCGGAGATATGAAACACCCAATGTCACAGGAATAGGTTTTTGAGTTAAGACCTTCAAACGTAAAAGGATGCCGGGGGATTGGGATATTTAACCCTGTTTCATGATAACAAAGATTTTGTTTTTCTTATTTTTGTTGTTGATACACACTTTCAGTTCATTGTTTAGGTCCTTATGCTTGGAGTTCAGCAGGATTAGTATCACTTTTTTGTTTGTTGTTCTCAATGTCTTAGCTTCTTATTCTTGGATGACCAGCCTAAATTTCTCTGTTATACATTGTATATTTTTGGCTTCTTTCTTTAATGCCAACTCTGCCCTATTTTGTTGCTGGTGTCTGAAACAATGGCTCATTCATTTTCAGAAACTATTAGGTCAAATATTTGCCACAACAAATAGATTGATATTAATATTAAGAGGGTGTTTGGCTAAGCTTATAAGCTGGTCAAACTGGCTTATAAGCACTTTTTGGCTTATCTACGCGTTTGATATAATTAAAAGTGCTTATAAGTTAAGTGCTTATAAACCAAAAATAAGTCAAAAGCCATAAGTTGGTCTCCCCCAACTTATCAAATTTCAGCTTATAAGCACTTTAGGTTTGACCAAAATATTTACTATTCTATCCCTAAAATACTTCTTTTTAAAACAGAACTCTTCGTATACCTAGTTCTTCAGCTGCTTATTATTTAATTTCAGCACTTTCATCCAAACACGTAACTGCTTATTTTTTAAATCAGCTTCAGCACTTAAAAGTGTTTTTCAGCACCTAATGCTTATCAGCTACTCTAAATCAGCTAAGCCAAACGGGCTCTAAGTAGTCGTAATCGAGTGTAACTATGCTTGCTTTGTTGACCCTTTTTTGCCTTCTTCACCATCTGATTGAGTGGCCATGGACTATATTTTGACGTTCACTGTTGAGATCTCCAATTTATACTTTTATCTGGTCTGCAACTTCTATTAGAGTAGATTTTCACAAGTTTGACTGATTTCGTAGTGATGGCTCTTTGATATGGTGGCAGCTACATGGGTTTCACTTGATTCACAGCTTTCTCTTTACCTGTATTTTACATGTTTAATGATCCAGATAGGGCTATGTTGAGTTTGTTTGAGGGAAGGACATACGAGAGTGTTACTAGAACCAAACAAAAAAATTTAGCTTTTCTCTTCTATTAAAATAACAACAACAAATTCAGTGATTTCCCAAAAGTAGGGTTTGGGGAGGGTAAAATGTATGCAGCCTTACCCCTAACTTGGAAGGACAGAGAGGTTGTTTCCGATAGACCCTCGGCTGGAGAAATGATGAAAAGAGTAATGGCAACAAGTATAAACGACAACAAGCTAAAGTTAAGATCGAAGCCAAGAAAGTAGTTAAACTCTAGGTAATAATAGCAATCTATGAATAAAAGGATATCATACTAACACTAATGCTAGAGAACTTGAGTAAGACAAAGGTAAACGCTAGAATACCTGCTAACCTTCTACCATAATCTTCAACCTCCTCACCCTCCTATTTAGGGCGTCCTCAGTCAACTCCAACTTCTCTTTTGATAAGTCAAAATAATTTTATTAATAATTTCACCAAGAAGATGTGCCAAATTTATGATAGATTTGGTTAGACTAGAGGAAGTTAGAAAGCCCTGAGTTAGTATGCAGAGTTGGAAGAGAATATCAATATATCGGTTCTTCTTTATCAAAGTTCAAGATCTTCATGAATTCTGGAGTAAATTTTATGAGTGGACATTCAGCTTTGTGTTTATTATCCAAAAATCTTTTTTCTTTTTTTTTTATTACGTAAAAGTCATGCAACTTTGTGTTTGTTATCCAAAAATCACTTCTTTTTTTTCTATTGTTACACAAAAATTATTTTACTATGCTTTAATTATCACAATAGTCACATTAACAAGATTTTATAGAACTTTTACCCGAAAAGCCTATTATGCCCTTGACATTATAAATCATTCCATTTATATAAACTTTCACCTGCAGAGAGGTTGTTTCCGATAGACCCTCGACTGGAGAAAGGGTGAAAAAGAGTAATGGCAACAGTATGAACAACAACAAGATAAAGTTACGAGCGAAACCAAGAAAACAATTAAATTTTAGGTAATAATAGCAATCTATGATTAAAAGGTACACTAATGCTAGCGAATTGAGTAAGACAAAGAGAAATACTCGACTACCTACTAACCTTCCACCCTAATCTTCGACCTCTACACCGTCCTATTAAGGGTCGTGTCCTCGATTAGTTCCGGCTGCTCTTTTGATAAGTCAAAATAGTTTTATTAACAATTTCACCTAGAAGATGTGCCAAATTTATGATAGACCAGAGGAAATTACAAAGCCCTGAATTAGGATAAGGAGTTGGAAGAGATATCAGTATATCGGTTCTTCTTTGTCAAAGTTCAAGATCTTCATGAATTTTGGAGTAAATTTTATGGGTGGCCTTATCTAAAATTTTTTTTTATTACGTAAAAAGTCATGCGACTTTGTGTTTGTTACCCAAAGGTCACTTAATTTTTTTTGTTACACGAAAATTATTTTACTATATCACAATAGTCATTTTGACCGGATTTTGTAAAACTTTCATCTGAAAAGTCGATTATGGCCTTGACATTATAAATTCTCCCATTTATATAATATCTTTTATATTATATATTCCTATATAACATATTTTTACCTAGGTATTTTACTTATTATTAAAATAACTTAATATTATTTTATTTATTATTTTTATAATATATTCGTACATTTAATTTTTTCTTAATGTTAACTTTCAAGATATATTGGTAGTCTTATTAAATTAATCAGTAACATCAATGTGAACAAATCTCAAAAAAAAAAAAATATCCCAAGTCAAAATTGTTAACCATGAATAATGAAATGTTTATAATCAAAATTTATAAAATTAAAGCTCACAGTTTCATCAGCCAAACCATATTCGTTAATCACATAAATAAAATATCCACATTTAGCACACTGGCACATCAAATTAATACTTTTAAATAAATAATGTTAACAGATAAAGCTTTAAGAAACTTAATATTAAACACAAATGTCTTTGATTTATTCTAAAAGTTTTATTGACTATGAAAAACTGGCATTTGTTAAACAAATCTGTTCTTATTATTTCAAATATATATTAATAAATAAATATTTTGCCATTTTTATATTTTAAAATATATTCATGTTTGAATACGATTAAAAAACTTGAATGCCATGAAAAAATTAAATGTATGGATATATTATAAAAGGAATAAATAAAATATTATAAAGTTATTTTAATCATAAGTAAAATACCTAGGTAAAAATATATTATATTGGAGTATATAATATAGAAGGTATTATATAAATAAGAGAATTTATAATATTAATGGCATAATAGACTTTCTAGGTATAAGTTTTATTAAATTTTGTCATTGTTTTAGATCTCTTATTACAAATCAGATGCTTTCATATGGGGATGAATAGCACGCTTTCTTCTTCAATTGGAAAAAGAGTGAATTATTTTTAACGGATCCAAACTCATTTATGTCTAGCTAGTCACCCAGGCCATTCAATACAGCATCTTAATTATGTATTTGTATTTAACGATGGCCGACAACATGATGGGTATAGAAAGAAGTTGTGAAAAGGTGAAGGAGTGAAGTTATGTAGATGATTAGGGATTTTATTTCAGTAAGGGTATGTTAAGGATTACAAAATGATTTAGGGATAAATTATTATATTAGTCAAAACAAAAGTACGGACTTATAATAGGCAGAACTAGAATTTCAAAAGGATGGATGCACCACTACCTTTAACATGAACCTTCAATTTGATTATATGATATTTGATGGTGGCCACAACTAAACAAGCGACTCTACTTGCAGCTTGTTTGGATGGTTGTTCCCCGTTGTATCGTATTGTATTGTCATCTCGAAACAATGTTTGTTTTGATTGTTTCATTAAAATTGGTTGTATTGTATTGTTAAATTCATTGTTCCGGAACAATGAAAAGTCCCCTTTTGTGAAACAACCGATTTGGTGTGGTGGGATTGTTTCCTATTTTTCTTTCCAATTATGCCCTAACTTATTACTGCACAATTCTATTTTATCCTTTAGTTTTTTTTTGCTATTTTAACTCCAAATCTCCAACCTATAAACTACTTTATTTTTTCCCAGAACTTCTGCCGCCAACGTTAAAGGTGTTTTGCCGCCTTCTGTTTTATTTTTTCTCCTAATTTGCTTTTAACTCAATTCTAATTAGTTGTGCTCCTTTGTTTTGCCTTCTTCTGTCTCACTCCTTTGTTCTACTTTCTTAAGGTGTTTTACCTTCTTTTGTTCTGCTTTTTAAAATTATTTTTATGCATATTTTTTGATAAATTTAATATTTAAACAATTGAGGGTATTTTAGTAAATTTATCAGTTACAGTACAGTACGATACAGTCAAACCAAATATCAAAATATTTGTTTACCCTCGAATCTGGATAACAATTGAATTTATATGGGGTTTTAAGGATCCGTGAACTAAAAGATACAAAAGGCTTTTAGGTTGAGGAAAATAAAGATAAAGACTCAACAATTGCTGTTAAAGTAAATAATCGCAGAATATAATATTGCTTAGAACAATTGTGCTTCATCCTCCACAAGAATTTAGAGAGATACCCATTTATACATTCTGATTAAGGGTAAAAATAAGGTAGGTAAATTGATTACATCGTGGATCCCTGTAATTACGCCTTAATGGCCTGAAGTGGTTGAGAAAATCACGTTTGGGCGAGATATCCGGCGACGCTTGGTTATCCGTTACGAGCCCGGCTTCCGACCTTGTGTGTTTCTCCATCCGGTGGTGATTCCTTTCGAGCTCTGTAACGGTCTCGAAATGACTCGACCTCGGTTGTAGACGTGGCCGTCGTTCTACCTT